ATCCAGAACTTTTGCATTATGAGGCACAATTCTTTTTTGGTAATTTTTCGTGATCCAAAAGCATGCAATTAATGTGCATATATATAAAACTTGAAACAAAATAACGATAGTACATTGCCGTAATTTCCAAACAATCACCATAGTTCTTTTGGCAAATTGACTGGTAATCAAGTTCTTGACAAGGGAGTAAAAAATCCATGTTCGTTTGATTTTTTGTTTTATAAGTGACGTTAACATTGAACCCTGCTAAATTATCCAAAAAAAAATTGAGGGAGACAAAGCAAAACCTAGCCAAGCACACCTCATTCCTGTAATTCTCATAAACCAGATTTACAGTTCTCATCTTACTAGTGTACAACAATACGTCAAATTCCATGCTCTGTAAATTAGATTTCAGCCTGATAGATATCATCAGAGTCGCACCTATCCCTCTCCTATTGTGAAATGCAGTGTGTTTTTCCTATAAAACTCTTTATGTCAAATGCATTTGTAACGATTCCAAAACTGATACTTTTTAAACAAAAAAAAAAAAATTCGGCATGACCTCCCCTAAAAATAGGCCTATCACAACCTGTTTAAATTCATTTTTAACCTATCATGGCTCAAATTCCGAATTCACGGCAATAGTAGATGATAATACACAATCAAATGACCTCAATAATACTTCAAACTAGTATTACTCTCCCCATTCATCAATAAGGTTTACATGTTATCAAATTCACATCCAAAATATCATTAAATAACATAATTATATTACCTAACCATGGTTTTGAAAAATAAATACACATTACTACACTTTTGGGGCCTTACAAAAATGGGAGATATACAAAAGATACAAAATGAGCTCCAAGTCATCCTTAAGCTTGTGGAAGATCGGCATCCACTACCTCCTTACCGGTTCCTGGAAAATGTTAAATAAAATGGGGTGAGCATAAAGCTCAGTAGAGAGTGCCTAAGACGCATCTCTTGTAGCCCCGTGAATCCAAACAAAGCATAGGCCAATAGGAAGAGGGGTCATGCAAAATGAGGGAAACACATATTAAATTCCAATTCCAAACAATCATATGTAAAATGCCATGAATGCTATGATATGCGTGTCACTCCCCATTTCTCAGAATACAACCATACTTTTCAAACTGTTAATATAACCCGCCCTTTGGTGACCCCGCAGCGACACGAGAGGAGGATTGGCTAGTGTCCCTGACCCCTGGTAACCCCGCGGCGTCATTATGGGGCCCAGCTAGCTCAACCACGCTAGGGCGACTCCCTAGTCCCCTCTAGGCTATATTAAACTCCGGCCCTTTGGTACCCCCGCGGCGACCGGGTTTCTCAAAAAAAAACTTTTTCAACAAAGCTTTCCCGAAAATCCCCATTCTTTCATTTTTCAAAAGTCATTTCCATACGTGCAATCCCCAATGATGAATTCATGAATGCCACATACTTTCAATGTTGTAATATAAGGGATTTCTAACATTTGACATGCCGTGACAATATCATAAAATGGGGAATTTAATACCACAATTTACCACACATGCTCACAACAATCAACTAGATATTTAGCATTATAATAAGCATGATAAATCAACCATTTATCACAATTTCCATACAATCCAACAAATACACATAGATACATGCTTCACATACACAATTAAATCATTTAAGGAGTAATCCATCTAAACTAAGCATGCTTATCACATAAGTCAACAAACACACATATATAAAATCTTTATATGCACCATTAAATCATTTTTAAAGCAATCAACCTTAAATCAAGCATGTTTGGCCAAAATTCTAGAGGAATAACTCACTAAGGTACAAGAAAAGTGTGAATTAGACACCTTTACCTCTAATTGAGCAAAAACCCCAATTTTCTTCACAAACCCTAGAAATGGGTCCTAAGATTCGAACTCCAAGGAGTGCACTAAATCTGAAATCGCTTGTATGGATGTGTAGAGCTTGACACGAGCTTCGTTTTGCCTCAAACGGCACTCAATTTCGATAAGAAATGAGATCAAGATCTTGTTTCAAAGTTTTGGAAATTAAAATGAAAAGAAAAACAGAGAGGAAGAGGGGAAGAGAGAGGCGCACGGGAGAGAAGGAGAGAAATGAGACCATTTGTGGTCTCTTGGCCCTTAGTTGGTTTAATGGTAGGTCCCACCACCTTTTATTTTCTTTTTCCTTTAACTTTTTGCTTAAATTTGAGCCATAACACAACATAATACACATAGTATATATACACCTACGCACATAAATACACAGACATTACAGCATCACTGCCAGTCTTTGTGATGACACCCTGATCAGATAATTCACATCGTTAGACTGAAATCCAAAAAATTACATTTAAACAACTATTTTTGATACGCATGAGAGATAAAGAGAGACCTTTTCAGTAATAATACCACTTATTATATTAGGTGGGGTAACGTCAAATGCTGCGTTCCAAACTGAGATTTGGAGGTCTCCAATTCCACCGGCGATGCCAAATTCTTTGGTGAATTCACGACGCAATGGCGAACAGCAGCACAGCTTCAAGTGTTCCCGCAAGAAATCCATAGATGAACAAAACTGGTGGTGATATTGGTGATGATCGGTGGCCTCGACACTACAACGGACTTGAAGGAGACGAACAAATTTGGATTTTCCAGAGAATTGAAGAAATTAAGGTTTTGTTGCAAATGGGTTTAAATTTGAGCGAGCTAACTCTTCAAATTCAATTTATTTAACTACAGTGAATCAGAAAAGCAAAATTGCTAACAGGGACTTAAAGACGAAGAGTGTCCATTGTTTGGTTTTTCGAAATCTAACTGGATTTCACTGGTTTAGGGCTTTAATGGTGGATGTAAGAGATGACACAAGGAGTCAGTTGGAGCTAATTTTACTGTATATGGAAAAGGTAAACATGTCATTTGATTAGTCAAATGAGGGTAAACATGTAATTTTAATCATTAAAGAAATCATTTAGTGGGTCAAACCAAAGTCAAAGGGTAAGAATGTCTTCTTATACGTAAAAAGTGATCTGACACACCTGTCAACTAACTTTTGGAGTGTAAGTGAAAAACGGAACAAACGTTTATAACGTGAGTGATAGTTATTTTTTAAAAATGTTTTAAACTGATATTTGGCCAAATTTCAGGGGATGTTAGTGAAATTATCCCTTAATTTTAAATATGGCAAGGAAAAAAGATAGAAATGGAGATTACCAGACTACTCTGACCATGGCTCCCTCCCCGATTATAAGTTCTCGTTGACCGTGGCCTTTAGGAACTGGGCTATCGACCGCTTTTAACCCCGTTTGCATAGGCTCGTGCACAAATTAACGTTCAATAATCCCAGGGGCTTTCACTTCGACACGTTTTCACTTGTGATCGCCTAGGTAGATGGAAGATACCATCAGGCTAAGCTATTTTTTATTGACCATCTTGCTTCCCCCTGTTTCGTCTTGCTCTATTGATTTTGTATATAGCGGGTGTAGCCCTACTCGTTTGTGTACATGATTTTTTTCTTCTTAATATATTATTATTTACCAAAAACAAGACAAAAAATATGTAGAACAAAAAGGGAAAAAAATGAAAAAAAAAAAGAATTGGAAAGTGATTTTAAAAGTAAAACTACAAAATATTTTTAAATAGCATAAATCGAAAACAATGGAGATAAGGCTGCACATCTGAATCTCCTCAGACTTTGTAACGACGGAAGTCTTGCGCACTCAACTAGCTTTTTTTTACTTTGGAATAGCAAATGCCCTTAAAGAAGCTCCCAACATGCTCTTAGTGATTCATAGATGAAATTTTACATCGCCAATGCAAGTTCACAGGTATAATAAAAACAAAGATAATGCTAGGACAAAGTGCTCATCACCCCCTTGTGCTAGAGGTGATGGAAATTCAACATCCTACCTATAATGTAATTTCAATTTACATCAAGACATATGCTTGAAATTTCGGGGAAAAAAAAAAATAATTAATATATATTTTTTTTAACCTATAACGAAAAATAAATTTACAGATGAGGACACCAAAATGACCCGGGTTTGGTGTGATCCACATTGCATAGGACGGGTCGGGTGTGGACGAACGGGATGGAGCAAGTTCGCGCTGTATGGGCCCAGGTCCATAAAGTCATTTCAGAAGCCCATGTTAAAATGAGGGAAGTCGAGTCCAGCCAAAAGAGAACAATATAGGTCCAGCTCAGTGATGGTTACAACCGTCTATAAATAGAGGGGATTGAGAGGGAAAAGGGGTTAGAAAATCATTGGGAGTGTAAAGTTTCTCTCTCTACAATTAGGGAAAAATTCTTTGAACTTTCAATTAGCGCCGTCTGTGGGAAGAACAGAAAGGATTGATTGATATCATTCCAGATCGGATCGATTCAATGCATTCTGCGAGGAAGATGATTAATCTGCGAAAGCTGAATCAACATTGGTAATAATACGATTTTTCTTGACGAGTCCAGGTTCCGGTTGATTTCGGAAAATTGGCGTCCGATCCAAGCAAATCAGATCCGTGCTTGATCCGGCGAATTGTGCGGTTGTGATCTGTTGTGATTACTGAATCCGGCCAGTAGTGGACTGAATTCGGCAAGTGTAAGTTCAGATCTGGTGTGCGCACGTTAGCGGAACTCCGATTTGATCAAGAAGCCTGCAGTTGATGACTTTGCTCCGATCTGGAATGATGATCGGAGAGGCGAACTTGAATTCTTTGGAGAACGGCCAGCAGATAAAGCTCGATGAGCTAATGAACATGATCGATGCTTTAAGGAAAGAAAATGCAGAGCTACGAGCTGGAATGGAGCATCGTGAGGCTCCTGCAATTTCGAGGCCGCCTCTTGAAGGAGAGGGAGCTTTACCATCCGAAGCTGATCGTCAAGGTGATCCAGAAGAAGTCAATCGTGGTGGTCCACATCGTGATGAAGGTATAATCGGTAATCTGCCCCCGAATGTCGGCCAAGTAGAGGATCGGGAAGGATCTGTTCGTCTAGAACCGCATCACAAATGAATTATGAGGGAGGAAGCACCGGCATATGAACATAGGATTGTGTCACCATGGCGGAGTGAATTTGCGGAAGATAGGTCGTTCGATCCGCCATACCGACCTTCATTAGCAACAGTTGATTACCATAGCTCAGAAAGAAGATCTGCCAATCGAGGATTTCCGTCACGGTTTTCAAGAGAAAACGAAGCATTGCGTTCATCAGCAAGGACGGTCGCATCGCCGTTCACTGATGAAATTATGAACGCACCGAATCCGAAGAAGTTTTCCATGCCGATCTTCATTCTCTTTGACGGAACAACCGATCTGGTCGATGACATATACCATATTCAGTTGAAAATGGCTTTGAATACTAATAATGATCCTTTGATGTGCAAGTGTTTCCCTACGAGCTTGGCTGGACCAGCTCTCAATTGGTTCAAGAATCTGGCTCAAGGCTCAATCGCCAGTTTCCAGGACTTATGCGATAAGTTCATAAGCCAGTATTACGGGAATAAGCGTCCGGCTAAGGATGTATCGAGCCTTTTCACAATGAAGCAGCATGAGGATGAGCGGCTCCAAGCTTTTCTCACCCGGTTCAACCTCGTTAAAAGCATGGTAATGGAGTGTCACCCGTCAACAGCAGTCCAAGCATTTAAACTCGCAATGAACCGGGGGACGCCGTTCCACACCAGCTTGGTGGTTAATACGCCAAAGACAATAGACGAGCTGAATGAGAGAGCTGACGGTTTTGTTCACCTTGAGGAGGGAGAAGCAGCTAATTCAAGGAAGACGTCAATTATTTCGACGGAGGAGAAGTCCAAAGCCAAGATCCGGCAAAAACAAGCTCAACCGCAACGTCACCCCTCATGGAAGGCGGAGAAGAGGCCTAGGGAGGAGGAATCAGTCACTCCACTCAGAGTCACCTTAGCAAGGTTATACCAAGAGAACAAAGATAAGCTTCATCCTCCTCTACTAATCAGGCAACCTCTTGAACAGAGAGATCAGACTAAACATTGTGCTTTCCATAGTGCTATTGGGTATCAGACTAACGAATGCAAGAACCTAATGAGGTAGGTAAAGATGTTAATCGTAAAGGGGGAATTTGCAAGCTATGTTCAAGGTCTGGCGCAAGAACATAACCGCCCGATTGAACAAATCAAGCGGAACCAGAGGCCGAACAAACACAACTCTCAGCCCGTCCGGATTATAAACGTAATTCATGGCCGGCCTGAACAAACGACGGAGTCAGAGGAGTTGCTCAGAACGAGGTTGCGCCAGGCCCAGCTGAAAAGAAGAATTGGTAGTGTGCATGCTTTGCACCAGCAGAACGCGTCCACATCGATAAAGTTTGATAAAACGGACCTGCTACGCGTTCAGATTCCTCATGAAGATCCACTAGTCGTCAGTCTGACGATTGCAGAATGCCTGGTTCGGAGAGTCCTGATTGATCCAGGAAGTAGTAATAATGTCCTGCCCAGGGTGACGTTCGACCGACTGGAGATCGAGCCCGAAAAACTCAAACCCACAGGAAATCTGTTGCTCGGATTTGATGGGAAGCGAGTGGAACCCATTGGAATAGTGGAATTGACAGTACAAGCCGCTGAGCGGGTTTTGACTGAAAGTTTTGTGGTAGTGGAAATTCATCCATCATACAACCTCTTGATGGGCAGAGGATGGATTCACAGAATTTAGGGAGTTCCGTCAACCTTACATCAAGTGATGCGATGTTTGGGTCCGGATGGGACCAAGGTGATAGATATACACGGGGACCAGGTTGCGGCTAAAGAATGTTATTCAGTAACTTTGAAATCTGCTAGAAAAGGAAAAAATCCCATCCGTTCAGCCAGTCCAAAATAGTAATTACAGAACCCTCCTCCCAACAAGGATGGAGGGGAGGAGCCACCAGTTATGACCACAGAACCCCTTTATGAAGTGAAGATTGATCATGAGAAACCAGACCGAACAACAAGGGTGGGAACCAGACTCACTGAAGAAGAGAGACTAGAGTTGACTAATTTCTTGATTCGGAATGCGGATGTATTCGCATGGAGCCATTCAGATATGCCAGGGATAAATCCTGTTGTATCCTGCCATTCCCTCAATGTGGATCCGAATGCAAAGCTAGTGAAGCAGAAGCAAAGAAGATTTGCTCCAGAACGAAATCAGATTATAGCTGAGGAGGTTGATCGGCTGCTTGAAGCCGGATTCATCAGAGAAGTTCAGTACCCGGCCTGGCTCTCTAACGTTGTTGTAGTGCAGAAGAAGAATGGGAAATGGAGAGTGTGCATCGACTTCACTAACCTGAATAAAGCCTACCCAAAGGATAGTGCATCGACTTCACTAACCTGAATAAAGCCTACCCAAAGGATAGTTTCCCATTACCCAGGATTGATTAAATGGTAGATGCCACCACAGAATATAAGCGGTTAACTTTCCTGGATGCTTATTCCGGTTATAATCAAATTCCTATGGACCCAGTTGATGAAGAGAAAACTTCATTTGTTACTGAATGAGGGACTTATTGCTATAAAGTCATGCCATTCGGATTAAAAAACGCTGGAGCTACTTATCAGAGGCTGATCAGCAAGATTTTTAAGGGCCAAATGGGCAGCACTGTCGAGGCTTATATTGATGATATGGTGGTCAAGAGTAAGAAGAAGAGCGATCATTTAGCGCACCTGCAAGATGTGTTCGATGTGTTGCGCCAGTATGGGATGAAGCTTAATCTGGCCAAATGCTCATTCGGTGTAAGCTTCAATCAATTCCTGGGACATATGGTCAATCATAGAGGAATTGAGGTCAGCCCAGCGCAGGCAGAAGCCTTGATCAGGAATGCAGAGCCAAAGACAATTAAAGAGGTACAGACACTCACAGGCCGGATAGCCGCACTGAGCCGATTTATTTCCAAGCTTTTGAACCGCTGTAAACCTTTCTTTGATACAATTCGAGGGTACAGAAGACAAACCTGGGGGGAATGAGCAACGGCAGGCGCTAACCAGCCTGAAGGAGTATATGCGTAATCCTCCGGTTCTGTCTGCTCCAGAACTGAATGAGAAACTCTTTCTATATCTCGGGGTGTCCAGTATAGCAACCAGTGCCGTTCTGATCCGTTACAAAGAGGGCAAGCAGTTCCTGGTGTTTTATGTTAGCAAGACAATGTCTGAACCGGAGAGAAGGTACTCTAGGGCCGAACGAATGATCTTATCGCTGGTCAACGCAAAAAGGAAGCTTAGACATTATTTTGAATCTCATCCAATCGTCGTTTTAACAACTTTCCCTTTGAGAATGATCCTGCATAAACCAGACCTGTCGGGGAGAATGACCAAGTGGGCCATTGAATTGAGTTCATTTGATATCGCGTACGAGCCCAGGACGGCAATCAAAGGTCAAGCGGTGGCAGATTTCCTACTTAACTGTGTTGCTGAAAATACGGTGGAGGATTATAATTGTTCCTGGTAGAAGCTCTTCGTGGACGGCTCCTCGAATCAAATGGGGGTCGGGATTGGAATTCAATTGTAAACACCAGAAGGAACTACACTGAGCCAAGCGATAAGACTAGAGTTCAACGCGACCAACAATGGGGCAGAATATGAGGCGTTGATAGCTGGGCTGAAGTTGGCTAAAGAACTGAAGATCAAGAATCTGATGGCTTATAGTGATTCACAACTAGTCATTCGACAAGTCAATGGGGATTATGGGGCCAAGGATGAGACCATGGAAGCATACCGAACTGCGGTTCTGTGTGAGGCGAAAGCCTTTGATCAGATCAGGTTTATCCAATTGCCGATAGAGTATAACGAAGATGCCGACCACTTGGCTTGTAGTGCATCCAGTTCTGGAGATACTTTAGCTAAGGTCATCCCGGTCGACATACTGATCCAACCTTTCATTTTTGAAGAGCTGCCTAATCCGAGCACTCAATATGTTAATGTTATACCATATGAGCTGAGCTGGATTGATCCAATCATGGCTTACATACATAATGGTACACTCCCCGAGCGTAAGGACGAGGCAAGAAGAATTAGGTCCAGCGCAGCAAAGTATGCCATTGTGCACGATCAGTTGTATAGACGTTCCTTCTCGGGTCCATTTTTGAAGTGTGCTACCCCTGCAGAAGCTAGACAGATTATGCGAACCATTCACGAGGGAGTATGCGAAAATCATTCCGGAGGAAGATCTTTAGCACACAAAGCAATGACACAGGGGTACTTCTGGCCAAACATGGCACGAGATGCAGAAGAATTCTCTAGAAGATGCGATAAATGCTAAAGGTTCGGGTCATTGATACATCAACCACCTGAAGACCTGCACGTAATGGCCACCCCATAGCCTTTCGCGCAGTGGGGGATGAACGTGGTTGGCCCTTTGCCGACTGCAAGATCGCAGAATAAGTATGTTCTGCTAGCTACTGATTACTTCACCAAATGGGTAGAAGCAGAGCCGTACCCTTGTGTCACCCAAACTCAAGTAAGATGCTTCATCTGGAATAATATTATCTGTCGTTTTGGCGTACCAAGGTCAATCGTGATGGACAATGGAACCAACCTCGATAGCAAGCAAGTAAGAGAGCTGCTGGAGGAATATGGAATCAATCAGAAGTTAGCAGCAGTCAGTCATCCCCAGGCTAATGGTCAAGCCGAAATCACAAACAGGACAATATTTGCTTGTATTAAGAAAAAGCTGGAGAATGAAAAAGGCAAATGGTTAGATGAGCTACTGAATGTCTTGTGGGCTTACAGAATAACCCCAAGACGGCCAACTGGAGAGAGCCCATTCGCTATGGCCTATGGCACCGAGGCGGTGATACCAGTCGAGCATTTGGTTCCAACTGTAAGGAGCTTGGCGTGGGATCAAGAGTAGAATGATAGAATACTGAGGTTCAGTCTTGATTTGTTGGAAGAAAAAAGGGATACGGCTGCAGTGAGTCTTGCCTCTTATCAACAGACGCTTGTGAATAGCCATAACAAGAAGGTGAGGCACAGGGGTTTCACTCTTGGCGATCTGGTTCTGAAAAGGAATGTAGGAATAGTCAAAAAGATGTTCTCCCCATGGGAAGGTCCATACAGAATAGCAGAGGTCATAGGGAAGGGGGCATACGTCCTAGAAACTATGACAGGAAGGGTGGTCAATAAGCCATGGAATACTACGTCTCTGAAAAGGTACTACCAGTAAAAGTAGAGTTTAATTTCAAGCATATTGTACGTTCTAAATTGCATGCTTGCAAGTGTACAAAATTTCCATGCTTTATAAAAAGTCTCTTCTTTGTTAAAAATTTACACTTTCCCGTTCAGCAAGTTAGTGGCAGCTGGCACTTCAAGCCGAACGCCAAACACTTGCTCAAAAAATAAAAAATAAAAATAAAAATAAAAAAAGCCAAGTAGCAAGAGGCGTTCAAGCTTAGTGCCAGGCATTCAGCAATTTAGTGGCAACTGGCACTTCAAGCCGAACGCCAAACACTTGCTCAAAAAAAAAAAAAAAAAAAAAAAAAAAGCCAAGTGGCAAGAGGCGTTCAAGCCGAACGCCAGGCATTCAGCAAGTTAGTGGCAGCTGGCACTTCAAGCCGAACGCCAAACACTTGCTCACAAATGAGTAAAAAAAGGACAGAATGGTGACATGGCCGAACGTTAAGCACTTGTGAAAATACACTGCAAAGCTAAAAATAGAAAACTCAAAGGAGGAAAGTGATGCTGAGCAAAAGCATTATTATTCATAACCAAAAAGGCCTCAAGGTACGTAGTACCATACATGCAGATTTAAAAATAAATAAATAAATAAATAAAAAAATAAAAAAAACTGCTATTGGGTGTCAGTTCTGATCTTCTCCAGGCTGTAACTTGTCATTCTTGCCACCATCTTCCTCTGGACCATCGAGATCTTCTCCATTCTCATCTGCCCTATCATCCTTAGAAGGGGAGTCGAGATGAATCACCCCCTCAGCAGGCATAGGTCTGTCGGCAGCAACAGAGGAAGAGAGCACGATGGTAGAAAGAGGAAGAATGTTCAGGGGATGAAAGGGTGGGACAATTCCTGAAGATACGACCTCTATGCATTCAATAAAAATGTTCTCAGCTGGGTCGCATGGTGGATTTTGATAATTGTTTGGGGGGTGGATGTCCAGAGAAGCATCTAGTTCATCAGGACCAGCACAAGAACTTGATTCACCTTCAGGGGGAGAACGGTCAACAAAACCATCTCTGTACCCTTCAGCATACCGGATGGCACTGGTCCTGGTAAAGCGAGCAAGGAGAGCTCTCATACCCCCTTCGACTCTGCCGATCATATTCATCAGGGAAGACCGTTCGTTTTGAAGTTTTTCTTGGGAATTCGCATGCGACAACCGTTCAACAATGAATGAGTGCTGAAGGTCTCCCTTTTCGGCTTTGAGAGAGTCCCTTTCTGTCAGAGCCACACTCTTCTCAGTTTTTAAGATGTCAACCTCATCATGAAAAGAATCCCGTTCGGTCTTCAGGGAATCCCGTTCAACTCTGAGGGAATCCCTCTCGTTTGCCAAACCGTCTCTCTCTGCCTTTAGGTCAGCAACTCCCTTCTCTGAGTCCCTAAGCTTAGACTCCAGCTCAGCAACTCTAGCCTCAAGAAGAGTCTCTGCTTCAACAGACCTTTTAAGGCCCACAGAGAGAGACTTAAGTTTTTTGTTCAAAGTTTCAATTGTTTTTTGAAAGGTGAACATCCTG